TTTCCCCCATTCAATTGCTTCCCTTCTTATTCTAGGTGCATTCATTTTATCTGCAGAAGCTTTTCAATTTCATGTAATCAGTTATGTATCTTATCGTTTGTAATTGCCTCAGTCCCTCATTTGGTTAAGAATACATTGCCTACCTACATGAGCTGCTTCTCTTCTAATTTTTTTTATAGTATTATCCTTAATATTAAGGTCACACATCCATTTAGAATGTACTGTGAAATACGGTGTAAGGTGCTGGCCTAAACCTAATTTCTGTCAGATAGCTTTCCAGTTTTCCGAGCAGTTGTCATCAAATGGGAAGTTCTTTCCTAAGTAATTTACATAATGGAATATTATTGCATCTTAAAAGGCAATCTATGACAAATATAAATGACAAAAGGGACAGATTTAGAGAAATCTGGAAGGACTTAGAAGAACTGAGATAAAAATGAAATGAGCAGAAATAGAACAATTTATACAAATACAACTTTGACAAGGAACAATTATAATGAAAAAGACTATGTTTGATTCAATGATCAATCATGATTACAGATGATGCAATGTGTCAGAGTTACAAAATGAAACACACATTCTCAAACATGTCCAATGTATATTACTTTTGCTTGACAACACTAATTTAATAAAAGAAAAGGCTTTTTGGGGGGGGAGGTGGTGAAAGGAAAATTATATGGGAGGGTTTGAGGGGTAGCAATAATAATACTCCCCCCAAAAAAAAGAATTAAAGAAAAGAGCATCAATAAAACATCTTTTTAAATGCAGAAAGACAGGAATAGGGGCAGTTAGCTGGTGCAGTGAATAGTTACAGGCCTGAAAAGTCAAGAAGATTCATCTTCCTGAGTTCAAAAGTGGCCTCAGATACTCACTTGCTGTGTAACCCTGGGCAAGTCACTTAATCCTGTTTGCTCAGTTACTCATCTATAAAATAAGACAGAGAAGAACCACTCTAGGATCTTTGCCAAGAAAACCTCAAAATGGAGTCACAAAGAATCAGATATGAATGAAAAGAACAACAAAAATATGTAAAAGAAACTGATAAGAAATAAAGAGAACATACATTAAACAGTTTGTCAGTAAGCTAAAACTTGAATAACAAGTGTAAATGAAAGAGAAAGAATACTACCGCAAAAAAAAAACCCTTTTAATTTTCAGCAAAATAGTGATAACTGAACTATAGTACATCTTTTAAAAAGATGTAGACAGAGGCTAAAAAGAAAAACAAAAGCTGCAAGATTCAATAAGTGGTCTTCTAAAAGACTGAGGAAATACTATGGCAGCCTGAGACTGTTTTTCAATGTCTCAGGAAAGCAAAGGCTTTTATCCAATAGGAATACTTCAAAGTGACAGCTGAGTATCTTAAAATAGAGGATATGAAAATTGAAATAGACAGAGATGGATAAATCCAATTCATCAACTTGCCACATGAACTGCTTTCACACAGAATCTAACTGGTTAGTGACCCATATGGGCAAATTTCTTCTGGCAAGTATGACAGATATTCCTACCAAAATTTTCACGGGGTAATTCTACAACAGAATAGATTTTTCAGAAAGATTCACATGTACAGGTATGTTTTATATAGTATAGTGAAAAGAGCCCTAGATGTAGATTCAGAGGATCTCAGTTTTTAAATGAGCGCTGCAATTTACGATCTGTGCAACCCTAGGTAAATAACTTCATCACTCTGGTTTCCCCATTTGTAAAATAATAATGGTAAACTACATGATCCTTAAAGTACCAATCACTTTTAAATCCTATGATCCTACATTTTAAATTAAGGCTCTCAAACGAATAGTGACAAACAATAGCATGAAAGCAAATCTGATCACTTGGGGGGTGCTATTATTCCCAGGCTCTTGGTTCTAGGCTGTCTCCACTAGTGTCTGAGGGGAGGTAGTGACGATTTGGTTTGTTCTATCTAACATATACCCACTCCTATCTCTCCCTCAGGATACCATACTGATTAAACAACCATTTTTAGCTAGAAATGTCTTTCTTTATATGCTGTTAACAAAGTTGTTTTTTCAGCAGTGGTAATGGATTATGTTCATACTTCCATAGTCTCCTACTTGGTCCCCTGGGAACCAAAGGCACACATCTTTAGGATTTACTGTTGAAGGCGAGAAGATACCCACAATTCCTGCTTCACCAATACTAACCACAGACTGGAAAGTAAACCCAAGAGTCCCAAGAACGGCAATATCTTCTCAGACCATCAACTTTGTTACCAGCTCAGTCTCTACAGCTATCAATTAGAAGATCAACTCATGGAGATGAAACCTATCAACTACCTTTGCAGGTGATGCAGCCCCTAACTCCTCAGCAGCCACAACTACTAATGACCCATAAAAGAAAGCTCTTACCACCAAAGTACCTGGCACTGTCAAATGATTTAACAGAAACAGACATGGTTTTATCAATGGAAAAGACATTTAGAAGATGCATTCCATTCTAATTAAGTTACACAAGAGTGAAGAAAGAAGGCGCACATACACAATGATTACAAGGAAGACAATACTGAAAAGAAATAAAATTCAATTCAAATACAATATGCAACCAACAAGTGGATCAAACAACTTTGACCCATATACCAACACATACTTCCTAAAAGTAACCTACAACAAACTGCTCCTAAAGAAATAAAGAACTTAAATAGCTGGAGGAATATTAAGTACTCATAGCTAGGCCATACAACATAATAAAAATGACAATACTATCCAGCCTCAGGCACTTCACACTTACTAGCTGTGTGACCCTGGGTAAGTCACTTAACCTCACTGCCTAGCCAAAAAAAAATTCCAATACTACCAGAGTTAACTTACATTTCTAAGGCTATACCAAGTGACCAAGGGAATATGTCATAGAACTTGAGAAAATAACAATAAAATTCATTTGGAAAAACAAAAGACCTAGATTATCAAAGAAAACAATTAAAAGAACTAGGGACAAAGGAGGGGAATTAAGCAGCAGTCATCAAAACCATCCGATATTAGCTAAAAATAGATAATTCAAAGAAATAGACTAGACAAGGTAGAATCAGACACAACAGAATTCAATAACCAAGCAACTGATAAATTGGAAAACATAAATTACCTAGGAAAAAACTTCCTTATTTGATGATAAAAAAAAAACTGCTGAGAAAGCTAGAAAGCATCTGGGCAGAAACTAGGCTTAGACCACCACCTTACACTAAAGGGAACAACACATTCCAAATGGATATGTGACCTTAATGCTGAGCACCATTTTGTCAAAAAAAAAAAATTAGAAAAGTAGATCACATACCTCTCACAGCTATGGATCAGAGATATATTCTTAACCAAATGTGGGAGAGAGACAATTACAAAAGATAAAATAGATAACTTCAATTACATGAAACTAAAAAGCATCTGCACAGACAAAAGTGATCTAAATGGGAAAAACCATTTGTATCAAATTGCTCTGGTAAGGGTTTGATATCCAAGATAAACAGACAATCAATCTATAAGCATAGGTTTTGAACAATTTTCAAAAAAAGAACTGCAAAGTATTCATAACCACATAAAAGAATGCTCCAAATCATTAATAATAAGAGAAATGCAAATCAAAACACTGAAAATTCACCTGGTACTTTGAAAATTGGCAAAGATGACAAAAGGCAATGTTGGAGGGGCTATGAGAAAATAGGCCAACTGATGTATTATTGGTGGAGCTATGACTTCATACAACCATTTTGGAAAGCAATTTGTAATTATGCAAATAAAATGACTAAAATGTCCATAATCTTTGACCCAAAGATTTGAATATGGGGCTTATAACTCAAGAAAGCCACTAATAAGAAGAAAGTCTCCATGCACACCAATATATTTATAGAAGCACTTTTTGTAATCGTAAAGAAATGGAAACAAAGTAGATGCTAAAAGAAATTGTGATACATGTATGTAAAGAAATACTATCATGCTATAAGAAATGATATGTGTGATGAATACACAGAAGTCTGGCAAAGACCTAAATAAACTGATACAGAGCGAAATAAGCAGAGCCAAGGAAACCAACATACACAATAACTACAACAATGTAAATGGAAAGAACTACACACCAAAAACTTAAAAGGGAATATAACAAAATTAGGATCAAAGAGGACTCAAATGAATATATAAGAAGATACCTCCAACCCACTTCTTTGTGGCGGTGGAGGTCCATGGCTGTTATATATTGCATGTTTTTGGATTTTCTTAATGTATTGATTAGTTATGCTGATTTTTTTTTTCTCTTGAACAAATACTATTTGTTATATGGGATGACCATCTGGGAAGAGAAAGGGGAAGGATACTTAAAATAATTATGATGATGTAAGAAACAGATCAATAAAAACTTATTTTTAAAAAGTTAACTATAAAGTGGAAAAGTAGCAAACACTTGTTGAAATAAATACATCATCAGTAGCAATCACTATTAAATGGTTTTGCTTAAATGTTTTCAGGAAAGATATTTTCTGAGGCTTTTTGTTGGATTTTGTAAAGTTTGTCAAAACAAATTTTATTTTAGACCTGGTAAGCTTCAAGTCATGAAGACTGGCAACTATTCTGCAACTTAGATAGTAATACAGAGCTGCCTGAAGTTTAAACAATATGTGCCAGGAGAAAGACTTGAACTCTGGTTGTTCTGACTCTGAATCAAGCTTTCTATCAACCATACCATAATATATTATTTAGAGGAAAAAATAAAGGGGTAGCAGGTGACATCAAAACCCAAAAACATAACCTGCACCCAAGGATAAATAGGGCTAACTTATAAATCATAACTGTAAAATCTGGAAGCAACTTGAGATATTATCTAGTCCAACCACCTTATATTACATACCAATAAGGAAAATGAGGATCAGAGACCTTAAATGATATAAATCACAGGTGGTAAATCACAGAGACAGGATCAGAACCCAGGTCTTCTGACTCCAAATCCAGGCAGCACAGCACATTAAACTGGGTTGTTAGAGTTCTACTTTTCATAATACTAACCTCATCACTATCAGATATGACAATGAATAAATTTTCCATCTTCTTTACTTTGAGAGTTTGATTCTCCTCCTCCAATCTTTCAGATTCAGTAGTTTCTGTAACTTTCTTCTTCCTCCGAGGCATCTTTAACTCTGAAATGCATGGAAAAATTCGATTATTCCAAAAATGTTTTTCCAGTTTGGTCAATGAAAGGCAGATGGTCCTATTCTGCCAAAGTTCAAAACAGTATTAAGTTTTTCGGTAATAGAAAGAAATCAACTACTAGTCAATAAAACCCACACTATTTCCTACAGAAACAAAAAATACTACAATTATCAGTGTGGCCAAAATCTAATGGAAGATTTTGAAGCTTTTCAAATAACTTCTATATCAGCTCAAAAAAAAGTTATAATTTTGTGAATTATACAGAATTTCTCAGCATTCCTAGGATCACAAGATTTTAAAGTTGATCTATGTAGCCCAAACCCTTCATTTTATAAGAGAAAACTGAGGACCAGAGAGGGGAAGGTCTGACTCATGGTCACAAGGTATTTAGTAGGAGAATTGAGATTTAAATTCTTCCATAAGGTATTTTGTTGGGGTTGGTAAAAAAAAAAGGCAACAAAGAGACTACTTTTTTTAGTTTTCTTTTTAAATTTAATTTTATTAATTTATTTTGATTTATCAACAATCACTTCCATATGCTTTTGAGTTAAAAATTTTTCTCCCCCACCCTCCCCAAGACGACACACAATCTGATATAGGCTTTACATTTACATTCCCATTAAACATATTTTCACATTAGTGAAGTTGTAAGTAAAAATTAAAAACAATACGAGGAACCATCAGAAAGATGAAACAAAACTCAACAGAAGGTAAAAATAAGTGAGAGCGATTCGACTTCTATAGTTCTTTCTTTGGATGTGGACAGCATTTTCCATCCCAAGGCCTCTGGAGATGTCTTAGATCCTCGTAGTGCTGAGAAGGGTTCAGTTTAACAATATTAGTCATTGCATAACGTGGCTGTTATTGTGTACAAAGTCCTCTTGGTTCTGCTCACTTTACTCAGCATCAGACCATATAAGTCAAAGAGACTATTTTAATAACATATAGTACAATCATCTTTAAAGGTATTTCTCAAAACTTTAAATTCTGTGTGACCCCATGATTTTCTTTTTGCTGTCAATATCCCAACCACTGATGAAAAACTACAAATTAATCCCAAAACATTCAATTATAATGCATGCTCCATTGTGCCAGCCCACTCCTAGATAAAAAGCCATCAATTTTCCCAGCCAAATAAACATAGATGTATAAGTATATGCATTTGAAAGATTTCAAATTACTACTCAATTTCTCTATACCATTATTTATACAGTTCCAGTCACCAATAAAAAGAAAAGTGAATAGCCATCTCTCACAAGTATAAAGATATAATGAAAGAAAAAAGGGACCTATGGAATAAATCTGCCTATAGCAAATTCTCTAACTAGAGATGACCTTATTAGTCTCAGTCAATATTACATTTTAATTATAGTAACAGGGGGTTAAACTAGCAGAGTAATAGGAATAAGCATATCTCAGCTCTTCCACCAGATCCCCTCCACAAAGATCCAGAAAACACATCAGACCTAACACTAATAAGGAAAAATCCAAGAAAAAAAAAATCACAAGTCATTTTTCTAGTCCAGATTGGCAGGGAACCTGTGACCTCAAGGCCACATGTGACCCTCTAGGTCCCCAACTGTGGCCCAAACTTCAAGTTTGGGTTTCCCTTCAAAGGGCTGCACTTGAGAACCTAGAGGGCCACATGTGGCCTTGAGGCTGCACATTCCCCACCCCTGGCAAATGGAGACAGAGAGGTCTGCAGAGAATAGAATCAAACCAGAAACATGTCCTATGGAGTATCTCAGCACTCAGGGATTGAAAGAGGAGACTCAGGCTGTGCAGTGGGACAGCAAGAAGTACCAGGCAATTCCTCAACTAGTGCAGGATGCAGAAAAGAGTGCCATCTGACAGCTCTGTCACTTACTACCCAATTTCAGGTCAGAGATCCAAGGAGGCAGAAAAGATAACTTGTATCTAGGGATAAGTGAGAAGAGTGGTCATAGTCATGGGCACTAGCTGTGTATTGACCAAGGAACAAGCTCAGAAACAAACAGAAGCTGTGTGGCTACAGTCGTAATAGCAGAACAGGGATTCAGTTCTAGTCTTCAGGCCAGGCTGCAGACTGCAGAAAGGGGAATAACCAGGGCAGGAATTTGAGACCAAAGGAGAGCCTCCAATTTGGTTGTTCTGAACCTGTAGAGCTTACCTGCAGGCGAAAATAACTGAGTCCAGCAGCAGACTACTACAAGTTCTGACCAGAGCAAGCTGACAGACATCTTGCTCAGACCTAAACAAGGGTCAAGAATTTGCAGAGTTTAGACCAACAAGGTAATGAGAAGACTTCATTTTGGATCACCTCACACTGGGAACACTGAAAACGTGCAAGTTCCCAGCATGAGCCATTCCTGAGACCCTGGGGGAACACAACACTTAATATTCCCTATAAAGAAGCTGAAGTACCAAAGAAGACTAAAGCTCAGCCCAAAAATAACCCCTAGAAGTACATCAAGTCTAGCCCTAACATAAAGCCCAAAGTCAAGAAGCAAACTAGAAGAATGAACAAACAAAAGAAGAATCCCATCATAAAGAGCTGTTATAGCAAAAGGGAAACTCAAGACACAAACCCAGAAGAAAAGAATGACTCCAAGATACCCACAAGCAAGCCTCAAAGCAAAATGCAGCTAGGGCACAGATCAGAATTTGTGGAAGAGATAAAGCAAGAGTTTTGGGGTTTTTTAAAAAGAGTTTAAAAAAAAGATTTAAAAAATAAGAGCAGCAGAAAAAAAATTGGGGAGAAAATGAGAGCTATGGGTGAAAATATGTAAAGAAAATTAACAGCTTGGAACAAGAGATAGAAAACCTTATTCAAAATAACTCCTTGAAAATCAGAACTGACTGTACAGAAACTAATGACTCCACGAAACAGCAAGAAAGATTAAAACAATAGATGAAAATGTAAAGTATCTAATAGTAAAAACAACCGACCTATAAAATAGATGAAGGAGAGATCATTTTAGAATCACTGGATTACCCAAAAGACATGACCAAAAAAAGAGCCTAGACCTCTTATTTGAAGAAGTCATAAAAGAAAACTGTCTAAATGTCTAAGAAACAGAGGGCAAAGTAGAAACAGAAAGTATCCAGTGGTTACCTCCTGAAAGAAACCCCAAAATGAAAACTCCCAAGAAAATACATCCAAAATCCAGAGCTCTCAGGTCAAATAAAAATACTACAAGCAGACAGAAAGAATTCAAGTACTGAGGAACCACAGTTAGGATCATACGAAATTTAGCAACAACCATAACAAAGAAGGAGAGCCTGAAATATATTCCAGAAAGAAAAAAATATACACTTAAAACCAAAAATATCCAGCAAAACTAAATATAATTCTACCAGGGAAAAAATTTACCTTTAAGAAAACTTTCAAGTATTACTAAAGACCAGAGTTGCGTAAAACTTTGACAAACAATGAAGTCAAGAAAAGAATAAAAAGGTAGATATGAATGAGCAATCATAAAAGACTAAAACAAGGATAGAACTGTTTATATTCTTATACTGAAAGATGATACATATATCCCCTCAAAACTTTCTCACCATCAGGGATCAAAGAGGGAGTCTAATTAGACTGAAGGCCTGGGAGTGGATTTTATTATATTTTGATAATCTTAAAATTAGACTGAAAAGAGAAGGAAAGAGGAATACACAGGAGCAGGGAGGAAAGGGAGAGGAAGAATGGGGAAAATTATCTCACATAATTGAGATATGCAAGTAGAAGTCAATATAACATGGAAGGGGTTGGGGGAACAGATGACACCTGAACCTCTCTCTCATATGAACTGGAAGGGAAGAACACACACACACACACACACACACACACACACACACACACACACAGAGTTGGGTACAGAAATACATCATCCAACAAGGAAACACAAGGAAAAAGGATTAAGGAAAAGGGAGAAGTAAAGGAGAGGATAGATGAAGAGAAGGATTAGTCAGAAGAAAAATTTTATAAAGTGTTGTAGGAAACAAAGAGAAGGGAAAGAATAAGAGTATAGGATGGGCGGAAAAGCACAACTAACAATTATAATGGTAAATGTGAATGGGATGAAATTGCCCATAAAACAAAAAGGCTAGAAGAGTAGATTAGAAATCAGAATGAAACAATATGTTATTTGCAAGAAACATACATAAAACAGAAAGACGCACAGATTTTGCTTCTGCTGAAGTAAAAATAAAAGGCAGAAGTAGTAACTGTGATTTTAGAAAAGGCAACAACAAAAACAGATGTACCTAAAATAAATAAGTAGAGAAAGTACATTTTGCTGAAAGATACTGTAGACAATGAATATCAACACTAAACATACACACACCAAATAGCAGAGCATCCAAATCTATTAAGAAAAAATTAAATTGCAACAGGGAGAAACAGTAAAACTACCCTAGAGGTAGAACCCAATTTGCCTTTCTCAAATCTAAATAAATTAAGTTTAAAAATAAACAAAATAGAGAAGCAGGTACGTGGCATAGTGAATAGAGCACCAGCCCTGGATTCAAGAGGACCTGAGTTCAAATCTGCCCTCAGACACATAACATTTACTAGCTGTGTGACCCTGGGCAAGTCACTTAACCTCACTGGCTAATCAAAAAAACAAACAAAAATTAAAAAGAAATAGACTTGAATAGAATTTTAGAAAGATTTAAATATGATAAATTTCTAGAGGATACTGAACTAGAATACAAAGTATACACATTTTTCAGCTATATATGGCACCTTCACAAGAAATGACAATGAATTATGGCATAAAAACTTCACAAACAAATGCAATAATGCAGAAATATTAAATGCATCTTTTACAGATGTGTTTTAGTTCACATTCTACTTAATTCTTTCTGACACAAAGAGGGTCTTGATATATAAAGCATGGAAACTCAAACCTTAAAAGGAAAATTACAGACTACTATCCCTAATGAACAGTGACATAAAAATATTAAATAAAATATTAGCAAAGAAGCTGAAACAGCATATAACAAAGATTATACA